ACCCCAAAACCCCAAAACCCCTTAATGAATATATTTTTATGAATTAATATTTTGAAAATTCTATTTTAAAAAATGCAATTATTTATAATTTAAAATACAAATTAAATAAAGCAGCATAAATGAAAAACATTCTTGGGAAATTAAAAGATAACAATCTGATTAAAAAGGATACTTAGAGATTTTAATCTAATTCTCCAGATCTACTCAATCCAAATATTATCAAAAGTGGTAGAACCAATGCAAACCAAAATATGAGTCCAGGAGATTCCTCTAGTGATGAGTTTGATGAAGACGATCAAGAGATATATTCTTAATTAGTTGTTGATTAGTATAAGTTAGGACTTAAAGAAGTGAGTCATAATAAAAAGGTTCTGACTCAGAATTATGAATATAGAGCAAAGCTAGACGCATTCAAAAGATTAGCAAAGTAAATATAAACAGAGAACAATGACAGGAACTATTTCATCATTCATATAGAGCATGAGTATTAAAGTCAAACTGCAGTCGATTTTCACATGAAGACAGTCAAGTTGATGCCAAATGAAATACTTTTGAAAAGTTAATTAGTTGGAAGCAATACTTATACAGTTGATTTAGAGATTGGAATAAATGAAACAAAGATTAAGGATAAAGTGGCAAGATTTTGTAAGACTCAAAAGATAAGTACTTCTGATGAGGCATCACTAACCAACTATGTATTAGTCACAGTTGAAGCTCAAAGAATGGCTGTAGAAGCTAAGAAACTAATCCTGGAAATTTAAAACTTCAAAACTGATGATATGCTCTAGGAATTTCATGGTCAAAAGCTACACTTAATTAATTCTGGGCAAGCAGGAAGGAGTAATAGTAAAAAGAGTCAAAATGAAGTAACTAATGATGCATAAGCGCCTAAAGACTATGAGATAATTTTTGAAAAATTCAAAAAATATGTAGATAGCAAGAAGGAAATGTTGATCACTAAAATATACAATAGAATGAAAGCTAAAGCCTTGCCTTAGAGAATATTTCAAAGACATCAGACCTACGAGGATATCAGAATGAAGTTGTACTCAAACTTATATAGTTCAGTAGAATTAGTGCTAAATGAAGGCTACAGAATAATTAAGAGGTATAGAAAGCTTGATTTTTATCTTGAAAAATTAGCATTTGATCGCAAAAAAGAAGTCACCAAGAATAACAAGCAAAAAAATATGGCATTAAAGATTCTTATGTAGAAGTAAAAGGACTTAGCGCCTAACTTTTAGAACTAAAGAAGGCCTCAGTCAAATTTAAGAGGAGGAACCACTCTCGACTTCTACAACAACTATAATAGAATATCAAATACTTTAGACGGCAGTCCAGACAAGTAAAGCATTAACAATATAAAGAGTTATCAGAATACACCGTCTCCTGATAAATTATAGGCAAAGAAGAGTATTATCTATCAAAATGAATCTACACTGATATTTGAGGATAGGCAAAAAGGTGAACTGAAAAAAATGATGAATATGTAGAACTCAATGGAACTAGACATGAGCACTAAGATGGTTGTACCAGGTGGTATAACTGCAATGGGATATAGCTCTTATATGGGTGAAAAAAAATCTTAAGGAGATTATACTGAGAAAAGTTAAAAAGATATGTTTATTTAATCAAGGGAGGCATAGAGTTTGGACTTTATCATTAAAAGCTATTGTTTACAAAAATGAAATTATTTGATATTTGAGAATTAAATTAAGTTTAATCTTAAAATGATGAACAATTAATTATTGAGGTGGGTTTTGGGGTTTTGGGG